CCGAAACCAAGTCACACTTTAGTAGAGCGAGCCGGCTAGCACGATGGCTTGGTTTGGCCCATTTAACACACTTAGGACTAGGAGGCCATATTTTAATTTAATTCCGAAAAAAAATTAAATTCAAATTTAGTTATAGATTTTACTATTATGTTATTTTCCATCTTCCAAATTCATGAAAGCTTCTTGATTTGCAACTATACTGCAATGAACCATCCACATAATATAATTGTGTGGAATGTTAACTTACCACTAAGTCACGTCACGTCATAAAAGTGTTAAAAAATTAAAAATAAATCTTTAATCTTTTAGTTTCTAGGACGAAACAAGGCAATTACGTGGAATTCCAGCAGACGTATAGCTGGTAACTAAGCGATTTTCATCAGTTCGGACGAATTTGTTAGTGTAGTAAATTTAGAAATTAAATTAAAGTTCAATGAATTTGTCTAGAAAAATTAAAATTTAATAACCTAATTTATTCATTAATTAGCTTCAATATTCCTCGCCGACGGTCAAAACCTTAGTCGTCATCAAAGATGCCAATCTTGGATCGAAGTGTGATAAATAGTTGCTCGGATATAAGGGCATAGTGAATAGATTAGCAAGTTGATTTATTGTCGAGATACGAGAGGACACAAGTGAGCCATCGGATACCTTGTCACTTAATAAGTGAAAATTGATGGCAATGTGCTTCATCCAGGAGTGGAAAACGCAATTGTCACAAAGATAAGTAGCACCAAGATTATCACATAGGAGACATAGAGGAGTTGGTAAAGTGAGGCCAAGTTGAGCGAGCAAATTGACTAGCCATGAAATTTCAGCAGCTGTAGAAGCAAGGGAATAGGCTCCATTTGAGAATGTAGCAACAGTATGTTGTTCCTTAGAACACCAAGAGATAGGGTTGCCACCAAGACAAATGACATAAGCAGATACAGAAGTGTATTTATCACCATCACTAGCCCAATCGGCACCAGAGTATACTGTGAGTTGAAGAGGTTGACTCCTTTTAAGGTGAAGACCGAAATGAACTAATGAAGAGTATTCTTGAGGTAGCGAAGGATATGCTAGGGGTGAACCAGTGAATCTGGCTTGGAGCTTGCATATAATGAGAAAGTTTATTAACAGGATAAGGGATAGCTGAATGCGTGAGAGCCAAGTATCGAATCCTCCTATGACCCTTGGGAAAGAGGAGACATCACGGTAGAGCTGCACTGAGGTGGACATTGGAGTGACATGTTCCTTAACCCCTTTCAGTTTTGTTCTTTCAAGAAGGTTTTTGATGTACTTTTGTTGAGACAGAAATAGACCATGGGCTGTGGGAATCACCTCAACGCCGAGAAAATAATACAAGCCACCCAAGTCTTTATAGAGAATCACCGAATTAAGGCATCAATAAGGTCAGCAATAGTAGCTTCAGTGTTACCTGTTACCAAAATGTCATCCGCATACACCAAAAAATAGATTACAATAGATTTGGTGCTATAGTAAACCATGAAGCATCAGGTGTCGATTAAACAAAGCGCGTGAGAAGATGAAAGTCTTGTAGTTCATTGTACCATGCACGTGGGGCTTGTTTTAGACCATAAATTGCTCTGCGTAACTATCATACATGGTAAGGTTGTGATTCATCTATAAAGACAGTAGGTTGAGACATAAATACTTTCTCAGAAAGTCGACCATGTCAGAATGCATTGTTCGCTAGCCGGATTGTGGTTGGCTTTACCACCGGACTCAAGGTATCACTGTAATCAATGCCTATCTTACTACTTTTGCTGTTGAAGTGTGTACCGTTGGTTATCATTCATTGGAGGAAATGAGGACCAAACTTCCCTTGTTTTGGCTATCTAACCAAGCACGCAATCTTGATCTTTTGTCACTCCTACGATTGTATCCGAACTTCTCCACAACTAGAAATAAGAACCCAGGTCTTATTTATGTCGAAATGCAACTTCTATGTGTGGAATCCGTTTAGCTGAAATTCATTAATTCTTCAATAATCTTACAGAAGACTTTTCTACTGGCAAAGTGTCAAGAGGCGTCCCCTCTTTTTCTTCTATATAGGAACGATTATTCTTGCACTTCAATCTTCTCGAGAATTCTTTTATACTGTTTACCAGTTGAAGCAGAAGATACTCAAGAAAAATAGTTCTTATCATAAACACATTAATGACCAGAGCAAATTGAATTTTTGCTACACGAGGAAAGAAAAAGGTTTAATTTAAGTACAAAGGAGATTGATAATAAATAACCAAATATATTTCATATACCGTGAAATAAGTTTTACTGATATGGGTTAACAAGGAAAGAGACAGAAAATTTTAAATTCAGACTTTTGATAAAGTTGGTTCGAGTAACGTGCGAGTTTGAATCAACGTACAAACTCACTGACTTGGCCATATAAACACGTCAAGTTGTTTTAAATTTCTCAGGTTCACACATTTCAAAAATTTCTAATATATAAATTAATAAAGCCAACGCTTAAGTCTCTGACGTATTTTTCCAATAATTCCCCCCTTTAGCTTTTCTTAATTACAAAATCAATTCTCGAAATTTTTAAACGTGAATTCAAATAACCGAACAAAATTAACCAATACAAAGGTAACTTATCACATGTCATTTAAATTATAATCATCTGCATAATACATCACCTTCCAATAACAACTAACTTCACTCAAATCAAATCAACTTGCACTTCACGTAAATGAAATCCAACATATCCTTTTTCTCCACCTTTTTGCAATAAGGAAAGCCAAAGTTATGACCATTTAAGCACCACCCAAGATCACAATATTTGATGTGAGCATCAATTTCGATATATAGGTGCAATAAGCATCATGGTGAAACTAGCTCCCCAAAATGCGTGGATCGTTGTTTCCACGCAACACCAGATAGGTTTAACAAACAGCCTACATTGTTCAATCATCGACACAATGAGAAAGCATCAAAATATGTGAAGATAGCATAAGTGTGCATCCAACATATCATGCAATTTGAAATGTTACTTAAATACAATCATTTTTCAAATATGTCAAGCAACATGTCGACCAAGCAAATATGATTGCAATTATTTAAGTAAAAGCATCCAGATATGATCCCAAATTCAGACAAGGTCAAAACGACACAATATTTGATTTTTTTTCAAAAAATTTGTGATTAATTGTACTCTTTTTTCCTTCGTTTTGCATTTTCGTTCCATTGATTTTTGTCAAACAAGATTTTTAACGAAACAGATATTATGTAAATAGCCATTCAAGAAAGTCTACAATGATCGATGACTGATTAGTCTTATCAATATCTAGATGACAGTTCTACTTATTCTAAAAGTATGATTTTAATAAGCGTTTAAATCTTCTTGAATTCTATATATGGATCCATCATTATAATGAAATAAGCACTCGAACTTTGACTCTCTCTTTTTTCGCTTCTCGTTTAATACTCTCAGTTTTATAACGCTTTTCATATTTTCTCTTGTTTAATTTATTTTTTACCCCTATGACCTATGAAAAAAACAAGGCGAGTGCCTTTAACGTGTCATTTTATGAGTATTGTGGACTCCATTTAAAAGGTTGATGACTAGATGTAGCAAGAGCAATAGGTTGGGATTATTAATAGCAATTTTCGCCAACTCTATCAACCAATTAACACTTTTCATAAGACATCGAGGACTAGCTAGCAAAACAATAGGAATCTCTTTCCCCATAAACCACCTCTCCACAGTATTCATTCTCTCTTCTTTCTCTCTCTTCTCTTTCTAGCCGGCCATGGCTTCTTTCCCTCAAAACCATTTCCAACAATATTTAGAACCACCACCGCAGCCACACCCACAGCAATCCAAGCCCTTCAGGTAGCACTCTCAAAAAACCTACAAACCCACAAAAAATTTGATCTTTACTCTTTTTATTCTTTGATTAATTACATAATGATTATTTTTTCAGGGATTTGTATGACATGGAGGGTCAGATTTCACAGCAAGTCACCTACTTCAGCAACCCTAATCTCCCTGATCATCACCCCCCTTACATCCCTCCTTGTATTTTTATCTAATTTTTCACTAATTGCCTTGAGTTCCTATTATTGACAAATTAATCACTATTTTCTGATCTTTATTTGATTTTCTGTTTGGGTTTCAGTTCAAGTAGCAGGATTGGCTCCTGGAGGGGTTCAAGAGGAAAATGGGCTGGATTTGCAGTGGAATTTTGGGCAAGAGACCAAGAAAAACCTGCCCAAAGAAAAAGATTTTCTGGAGAACAACACCAATAATGCTAGCAATAAAAATAATAATTCCCAGATTTCTTTGGATTTTTTGCAGGCCCGACCAGTGTCAACTGGGCTAGGGTTGTCATTGGAAAATCCCCGGTTAGCCTCTTCCGGTGAATCGGTTTTGCTTGGGCTGGTGAACGATGAACTTGACCGTGAGTTGCAAAGACAGGATGCTGAGATTGATAGATACATTAAACTTCAGGTGGTAAATTTTGTGTCTTGTTTTGTTTTTCGTTTTTGTTGAAAAATGTTTGTTTCCGCGTTTTAATGTTTGTGATTGTGATATAAGTTATGCTTGCTTTTATGTCGCAGAGTGAGGTGTGCCTGTGACTGTTAATTTTTCTAATTTTGTATATGATTTGACTTTTGTGGATATGAAGATGTACTATTTTGGATTATCAAGGGCTATTGATTTAGAAAAGTGAATTGAGCAAAAATAACTGCACCTTTAAGTATGAGCAGGTGGAAGTTTTGAGGTAGTTCTTTTTGTGATTATTTGGTGGTGCTTTATGGATTATGTATTTTTTACTAAATTTGAAATGTGGTATATGTTTTGGATGAAATCAAAAGCTTTTTAGCCTGAAATGATGCTTGTCTGCACGGGTAGACGGCAGTGTTAAATGTAAATGGTTGGTTGATTCAAATGATTTCTGCTTTGTGTTTTCTTCCGATCTAAATGCAATCTGTCATTTGAAAGATGAAAATTTTCAATATTTCATGCTTATTTTGAGTTTAAATACTTCGAACATGACTTCAGAAATTTTCCTTTTTGAAGAAAGTGACTTCTACGTCAATTAGAGCATGTGTGGTAGTTTTCAGCTGCTGTCAGTTGAATGGTCAGAAAGGATAACAATCTCAAGATAACCTCAAGAGTGAGACTATGAAGAATTTTCCATGCAAGATGTTAATTTGTACGTTTGACTATTGTTGTTGTTCTTCGTTGAAATCTTCTATTGGGTTGTTGGATTGTCATGCCAATACGAGAACATAGTAAATATAAGTAGCTTACTTATATTTAATCCATTTGAAAAGTGATCTAAGGCTTATGATTTACGGCCTGCCTCAAGTGAGGCTCTCATTAATGTCAATGAGATTGAATAAGATTACGGAAATCGTCGAAGATTACGATTATCTTATCATTATAATTGTACCATATATAGATAGATCACTTTTACCATATTTAGTTATGATTCTAGTTCTATATAATGAGAGAACCTCTCATATTGAGGGGCATCGAATTTACCATATTTAGTTATGATTTTGGTTTTATATAATGAGAGAACCTCTCACATAGAGGTGCATCGAGTCTTATTGAATATTATTGTATATATTTGACATGGTATCATAGCCTTTTCCTTAGAATTTTCTCTTGTTTTCTTGATTAGCCTTAAAAGCTCCTCCCGTCCGGTCTTTGTCAAATTGAATCGATTGTTTCTTTTTCCCATTCATGTTCACGTATTGAGGAAGTAATTCAAACTAGAGAGGCAGCAAGCCGCCGCCGCCTTAGGGTCATATTTAGTTGCTGCTTTCATTTTAATCTTTGCACTATCAAAAAAAAAAAGTTCAATAGTCTCGGCGGCATCCCATTTCGACAGATCTTCTGTTTTTGACCATTTCAAATTGTTGCTGCCCCAGTGCCAACAAACCTTTGTAAAAGTCTGGTTTAATCAAGACTGCCTCCTCATATTTCTCTCTGGCAAGAGAGTATTTTTCTTTTATCTGGTCATATGCAGTTTGAAGCTGCGTAGCCATCAATTCCTTCTCCTTCTCCTCCCTTTTCTTCCCTCCTTCCCTTTCCTCGTTTTTCATCAGAATCTGAACTCGTGTCACTCGAATCACTGTGATACCTCTGAGCCATTGTTTCTTGTAAATAGAATACTAAAAACCTGTGGCAGACCTGAAATTAGCCAAATTGGGTGAATCCATGTAGTTTCAGAAACTGCAGGAAACAGGGAACTGCGAGCCGCCTCCATCTTTCCCCTCTCCGAATCTGCGAGTACTTTTTAGAGCAAAATTCTTATAGATTTTATTCCATTTTTGAAATTTAGAATCCAGCGAAAATGGTGAAGTTCACAGCCGACAAGCTCCGCAGGATTATGGACAAGAAGCATAACATTCATAATGTGTCTTTTATTGCTCATGTTGATCATGGAAAGTCCACTCTTTCTGATTCTCTTGTTGCTGCTGCCGGTATTATTGTGCAAGAAGTTGCAGGTGATGTTAGAATGATGGATACCCGTGCGGATGAAGCTGAGCGTGGTATCACTATTAAGTCCACTGGTATTTCGTTGTACTATGAGATGTTAGATGATTCTTTGAAGAGCTTCAAGGGAGAGTGAATGGGCAATGAGGACCTCATCAATCTTATCGATTCTCCTGTGCATGTCAACTTCTCTTCTGAAGTCATAGTTGCCGTTCGTATCACTGATGGTGCTCTTGTTGTGGTTGACTGTGTTGAGGGTTGTGGAGCCAAGAGGTAAAGCTTCTCGCGGTGAGAGAGGAGCAGAAATTTGGTGTTCACTAGAGTTTCTTTTGGGCCCAGATTTAGGTAAAATTAAAGCAAATGTGAAGCTGTTATTTCACTTAAGCCATGATCTATCATTGATTGTTGTTGGGTTATGGATTGGTTGGTTTTTGAATGGGCAGAGATAAAAACATATTTTTTTATTTTTTGATTGGGCCTAAGTTCAATTGGTTGGGCGGCTTGGGCCTTTTGCTTTGTTGGTTTGGGCTTGTTGCTTTGTTGGATTACTTAAAAATTTAAGGCTTATTGTTTGACACATAGACTTTATTAAGATTAGGTGTTGATTGGGCTTTAACTAAATTTTCTTCCCTTTCTATGGTGCTTCGTGGGTATAACCGTAGAATAATGGTATTTTTTTATTTTTTTTAATTTGAGAGTGCAGACTGTTGGTTGCTCAGGTGATGAGCTAGAGTTTTGATTTCTTTGGAGAAGGATCATCTTTGGGTTTTTTGGTGTAGGCTGTTTTGTGGGATTTCTTCCACCTGCAGTATCTGGAGTTTTGGCCGGTGTTTTGGTGTTAGAGCTTTTGTCGGAACTTGAATTATGTCTTCGACTAAGTTCTCCCGACAGATAGAACTCACTTTGTGTGTTGGCACACTTCGTGAATTTCTTTTGGAAATTTTTCTTGGGGAGCGTGAGTTCTCTGAAGTATCTTTGGAGTGTTCTTTATTGGTTACTGCACTATTTGTTGTTCTAAGTCTCTTATCGTCACTAATTTTCGTAGATGATTACTCTAATTTGGATTTTTACTTCGTGGGCACAAATATTGTCATTATCGTGAGGTCATGATTGCAAATTAATGTTATTACCAGCATCAATTTGAGGGGGATGCCAATGAGATTGAATAAGATTACGGTAATCGTCGAAGATTACGATTATATTATCATTATAATTGTATCATGTATGGATAGATTGGTTTTATAATATTTAGTTATGATTTTGGTTCTATATAATGAGATAACCTCTTACATAGAGGTGCATCGAGTCTTATTGAATATTATTGTGTATATTTGACAATTAAATGCCTTAAAACTTACACCTGAAGGCTAAGCCTCATGGCAGCTAGTCTGTGCCCTTATGTCTTCCTTTTCCAGTTTTGAGGGGTTTTTCGTTTTATTTTCTGCCTTTTCACAGAAGTGGAAGGAAAAGTCATCACTGGAAGTGAAGTATGATGACAAAGAATAAGAAGAATCTGATAGTGATGAGTATGATGATAAGGGAATTATATATATTGAGGATCTCTTCAAGATTCTACTAGTAATGATGATATGGGAAGTTGTTTCTACTTAATATTATATTACAATTTTGTCATGGTGTTACTAATTTTAAAACTTATTAGTTGCTACTTTAGTGAATTTTTTATGTTCGTATGGACTATGGAAGTTGAGATTTTTAGTTTTGTTAATTTTTTATTATGAATTTTCTTTTTGCTTTATGGTTTATTATGAGGATAATTTTTATTTTTCTATTATATTGAATTATTTCATTGGTTTTTCTTGGACTTATGCCTCACCTCAAAAAGTGAAAATGAATGCCCTATTTGAAACATGGATTTACTTCTGTCTTGTTGAAATATTTGAAGCCTGAAACTCTTCAACTTTCATTTAAGAATATAAACTCTTATTGGTAGCTATGAAAGATCATTGAATAGCTTTACATTCTTTATGTTTGGATAGGGAGATCGTCTGAGGCAAGCTGTTTTAGAGAAGTTTCAAGCACACCAACTCCAGATGATCTCATATGTTGAAGAGAAGCTCATGCAGAAACTCCAGGAGAAAGAGGCAGAAGTGGAAGACATCAACAAAAAGAATATGGAACTTGAATTGCGAATTGAACAACTTGCATTGGAAACCAATGCTTGGCAACAGCGGGCAAAATACAATGAGAACATGATCAACAACCTCAAGTTTAATCTCCAGCAGGTCTACGCACAAAGTAGAGATAGTAAAGAAGGGTGTGGTGATAGCGAAATTGATGATACAGCCTCTTGCTGCAATGGTCGGGCTATTGACTTCAACCTCTTTCGCAAGAATAGTAATGAAATGAAGGAGTTGATGACCTGTAAGGTTTGTAGAGTCAATGAAGTGTGCATGCTTTTGTTACCTTGTAACCATCTGTGCCTGTGTAAGGAGTGTGATAGTAAGCTTAGTTTTTGTCCTTTGTGTCGTTCCTCAAAGGGTATGAGCATGGAGGTTTATATGTAATCAGATAATATGAATCTTGGATAATGTTGATGTTACTTGTATTGGTCAACTTTTTCATCCTTGTGATGGAGATTTCATTAAAAACTTGCCAAAAATATGCACTTATTTTGGCGTAAAACGAGAAAGTAAATTAATTTATTATCTTATATTTTTATTTATTTGCTTTTAGTAATTACTAGTTTTTAGGAGAGGAAATTTTTCATTTTGTTAGTTTTGGAGCATTCCACAATTTTTTAGTGTTTTTAAGCATAAACTTTAGTAGTATTTCTGATTAACGTAAACAATTGATTTTGTTATAGTTTTCTTGTTACAAAGCATGAAGCTATTTTCTATGCATATGAGAAGATAATGATATATTTGTATCTCTAATGTCATAGGAATATTAATGACTACGCCAAAAAGGTTGGTAGCTGAAACCAATTGATGTTGGGATTTTAAACATTAAGTAGTTTAACTGTTTGAAACAACAACAGTAGCACACTTTTAGAATCTTTGTCTTTTACCTTTTGCCAATTATATTATTTTTCTTATCTCTTTTTGTAAAACTACTTTATCTCCTTGTACCTAACCAAAGTCGATGGGACCCTTTTGGCGTAGTGATTATTTTCCAGTGATATTCAAAATACAAAATAATGTTTATCTTCATGCTGTGAAAAAGAAAGCTGTCAGAATTATATGTTGTTATAACTTACTTTTCTAAATGAGAAGAAAAAACATCTGTTGACTAAACATAAATTGTTATATTGTTTTCCTATTAATTGTTTGTGATTTGTCGATGGCATAAGATAATCTCATTTACTTCATTTGTGAAATCCTGCACGATGCTCTCCAAGTTTCACCAGTATTTGGTATCAATGTAGTTGATAGTTTTAATGCGTGTTCTTGGTGGATTATAATTATTTTACATGCATAACTTTTTAGCCCTAGTTCTTTTGTCATTTATTGTCTCGTTGAAACTGATTTCGTAATCGTTCTTGGCTGACTTTGGCTTATCACAAGTGAAAAACAGAAAATTTGAGGTGTAGAAACTTGAGAGGTCGAGCTTTGGATTCTCCATGCTATTCTTTGTTAGTCATGTATGTGTTTTGTGGAGAATTCCTAAGTTGTTTAGGATGTCACTCACTGTACTGTCATAACTTTCCCTTTGGCTCTCGTTTTCTCTAGCCTCAAGGCTACTACCAGGTTTGTACAAGTAAAGAGTTCAGATGCTATTACAGTATCTTGTATATCATGCCTAAACGTTTTCAAAATTTGTGCATCATGTGCTCCTAATGGTTTGCATGGATATTCAAGTTTGGTTGTATATCCACTTGAAATTTCTCTTTAATTGGGTTTACATCTTAGTTTTATCAGATCTTTTGGACATTATTCAGACGTATGTTGTTTGTGCTGTGCTTGAATTTTGTTGAGGTGCTATGCTTCCTAAGGCCTTCTCTGCGATTACTGTTTTTCTCATACCGAAGTAGGAACGATGATAATTGGGTTGATAAAATTCGAAAGAGTATCTCTAGTAAATGGTTTTCTGTTCTAATCAATGGTTGTCGGCTTTCTTACAACTATCTAGAGGGCTTCGCTAGGGTGATCCAATCTCACAATCTCTTTTCATAACGAGTATTGAATTTCGATGCATTCAGATATCATTTTTAAGCATGGAAGCCAACTTCCTATCTCCCATCTCACATTTGCAGATTATGTCATTTTCTCCAATGAACATGAAAGAGATTGAAAGTTTTACGCTGTTTATTGCCTTCGATAAGGAGCTTTCGAGTCAAATGGTTAATTAGCACATGTTGTCGTTGATTTTACTTTTCGACCAAAAAGCTCATTGAGAGAACATAATAAGACTTGTTTACTCATCATTAATAATAATAATAATTGTTATATTCATAAATTATGTGACATACACAAGACGGAGAGAGTCTCATATATGTCGACGTGACATCGATATTCAATTGATTGGGCTTAAAGTTGGTCCATTAGCCTCATTTGGCCCATTTTTATTTCCTTATATATATGTGAACCTATTTTACAAAAGGTATGTTTTCCAACCATATCCAAATCTCATTTATCATCTCTTGCACTCATTTTTCTCTCGTCTGACCGTTGACTTAACCGTCGGAATACAAACGGTAGTCGGACTCTTTTCTTGACCGGTGGCATTTGCCTTCTAATGAGTGTGCAAGTGATGCCTAAGTGAAAGGGAGGTGGCCAGATTTCTATTGGCGCATTTTTTGAGGTCAATAGATTGACGCTGTCTGTGAAAAATCGATACATTAACCATGTTCTACCATATATTGGCAAAACATAATTTTTCAGGCACTTTCTCTACCAAAAAAACTGAAGACAGCTTCCAAAGAATGAAGAAGAAGGCCACTAGAAGCATCTAAAAATTTTCTTGAAAAAAGGAAATTTTATTGAAGATGCGAGATTCCAATCAACAGTTTGCAAGAAAGGAGCCAAGCTGGATTAGTGACAAGGACATAACAGAAGAATTTTCTAGAAAGAATTTAGTTAGGCTGTTGTATTGCTTCAATTTGTTTTCCTTTCACGTGTAAGTTAGGAAGTTTGTTAGGAAAGATTCCATTCATTGCTGTATATATTCACTATGTTATCTTCTGTACAATTCATCAAATTATTACAACATGGATTGGTTTCAGCTACCCGCCCTTTTGGCATAGTGATTATTTTCCAGTGATATTCAAAATACAAAATAATGTTTATCTTCATGCTGTGAAAAAGAAAGCTGTCAGAATTATATGTTGTTATAACTTACTTTTCTAAATGAGAAGAAAAAACATCTGTCGACTAAACATAAATTGTTATATTGTTTTCCTATTAATTGTTTGTGATTTGTCGATGGCATAAGATATTCTCATTTACTTCATTTGTGAAATCCTGCACGATGCTTTCCAAGTTTCACCAGTATTTGGTATCAATGTAGTTGATAGTTTTAATGCGTGTTCTTGGTGGATTATAATTATTTTACATGCATAACTTTTTAGCCCTAGTTCTTTTGTCATTTCTTGTCTCGTTGAAACTGATTTCGTAATCGTTCTTGGCTGACTTTGGTTTATCACAAGTGAAAAACAGAAAATTTGAGGTGTAGAAACTTGAGAGGTCGACCTTTGGATTCTCCATGCTATTCTTTGTTAGTCATGTATGTGTTTTGTGGAGAATTCCTAAGTTGTTTAGGATGTCACTCACTGTATTGTCATAACTTTCCCTTTGGCTCTCGTTTTCTCTAGCCTCAAGGCTACTACCAGGTTTGTACAAGTAAAGAGTTCAGATGCTATTACAGTATCTTGTATATCATGCCTAACGTTTTCAAAATTTGTGCATCATGTGCTCCTAATGGTTTGCATGGATATTCAAGTTTGGGTTTACATCTTTGTTTTATCAGATCTTTTGGACATTATCAGACGCATGTTGTTAGTGCTGTGCTTGAATTTTGTTGAGGTGCTATGCTTCCTAAGGCCTTCTCTGTTTTTCTCATACCGAAATAGGAACATGATAATTGGGTTGATAAAATTCGAAAGAGTATCTCTAGTAAATGGTTTTCTGTTCTAGTCAATGGTTGTCAGCTTTCTTACAACTATCTAGAGGGCTTCGCTAGGGTGATCCCATCTCACAATCCCTTTTCATAACGAGTATTGAATTTCGATGCATTCAGATATCACTTTTAAGCATGGAAGCCAACTTCCTATCTCCCATCTCACATTTGCAGATTATGTCATTTTCTCCAATGAACATGAAAGAGACATTGAAAGTTTTACGCTGTTTATTGCCTTCGATAAGGAGCTTTCGAGTCAAATGGTTAATCAGCACATGTTGTCGTTGATTTTAATTTTCGACCAAAAAGCTCATTGAGAGAACATAACCAGACTTGTTTACTCATCATTAATAATAATAATAATAATAATAATTGTTATATTCATAAATTATGTGACATACACAAGACGGAGAGAGTCTCATATATGTTGACGTGACATCGATATTCAATTGATTGGGCTTAAAGTTGGTCCATTAGCCTCATTTGGCCCATTTTTATTTCCTTATATATATGTGAATCTATTTTACAAAAGGTATGTTCTCCAACCACATCCAAATCTCATTTATCATCTCTTGTACTCATTTTTCTCTCGTCTGACCGTTGACTTAACCGTCGGAATACAAACGGTAGTCGGACCCTTTTCTTGACCGGCGGCATTTGCCTTCTAATGAGTATTTAGTGTGCAAGTGATGCCTAAGTGAAAGGGAGGTGGCCAGATTTCTATTGGCGCATTTTTTGAGGTCAATAGATTGACGCCGTCTGTGAAAAATCGATACATTAACCATGTTCTACCATATACAAAAAGTTATCGGCAAAACATAATTTTTCAAGCACTTTCTCTACCCAAAAAACTGAAGACAGCTTCCAAAGAATGAAGAAGAAGGCCACTAGAAGCATCTGAAAATTTTCCTGAAAAAAGGAAATTTTATTGAAGATGCGAGATTCCAATCAACACAGTTAGCAAGAAAGGAGCCAAGCTGGATTGGTGACAAGGACATAATAGAAGAATTTTCTAGAAAGAATTTAGTTAAGCTGTTGTATTGCTTCAATTTGTTTTCCTTTCACGTGTAAGTTAACACGCTCTCGGATACGTTGGGCATCCATGGCATCATCTCGAATTATTTTACCAGCTCTTCAAGTCATCAACCCAAAATGACGGCCCCGGTCCAGCCGTGAATGGTATAAGTGCCCGTATTTCAGACGATCACCACGAATTATTGACAGCCCCGTTTACGGCTCAAGAAATCCGCAAGGCCATCTTTGGCATGCACCCCGACAAGGCTCCAGGATCGGATGGCATGAACCCGGCTTTCTTCTAAAACTTTTGGGATGTTGTTGGTAAGGATGTTATCGCTTTGTGCTTACACTGCCTTAATACATGTACTTTCCCCACAGGTTTGAATGATACTTCAATTGTTCTAATCTCGAAGAAAGGCAACCCTGAGGCTATGCAGGACTTTAGACCAATATCTCTTTGCAATGTTATGTATAAGATAGTGGCTAAAACCCTCGCCAATCGGCTCAAGCTGATATTGCCGAAAATCATATCGGAGACCCAATGTGCTTTTGTCCCAGGCCGCTCCATAACTGATAATATTATGCTGGCATTTGAGACTCTCCACCATATGAAGAAAAAAAAGAGCAGAAGACATGGCATGGCTGCCCTCAAGATTGACATTAGCAAGGCATATGATCGCCTTGAATGGGGTTTTTTAAAGAACGTGGTGACCCGCATGGTCTTCCCCCAAACCTGGATTGATTTGATCACCTTATGCGTCTCAACGGTACGGTACCATGTTGCTCATGGGGGAGTTGATATTGGTCCTATCATTCCAGAACGAGGCTTGCGTCAAGGCTACCCCTTATCGCCATACTTATTCATCATATGCTCAGAAGGATTATCATCTCTCATTCACTCTAAAGAGGCTTCAGGTGCTATCCAAGGTTGTAGAATCGCACGCCATGCCCCTCCTCTTACTCATCTATTCTTTGCAGATGATAGTTTGTTGTTCTTTCGAGCTAACACGAAGGAATGTGATGGGATTAAAGAACTACTACACGGTTATGAAGTGGAATCTGGCCAATCCATCAACTATCATAAATCATCCCTATATTTTAGCAGGAACGTCGACCCAGAGAGGCAAGCCGTCATTCGATCTAGTTTGAATGTCCAGGAGTTCCAAGGACATGAGAAATATCTTGGGCTGCCATCTATTATTGGGAGGAAGAAGAGAGAGGTCTTCTCTTTCATTAAAGACCGGCTGTGGCAAAGAGTGCAAGGATGGAAAGAGAAGTGGCTATCTAGAGCGGGAAAAGAAACTCTCATTAAGACCGTTGCACAAGTTATCCCAAATTTTGTTATGAGTGTTTTCTTGATCCAAATCAGCTCTGTGAAGAACTTGAGAGAGTTATGAATGAATTTTGGTGGCAATCTTCCCAAGGGAGGAGTAGAGGAATTAATTGGATTGCGTGGGATAAACTTTGCCTCCCTAAATCTAAAGGGGGTATGGGCTTCAAGATGTTGCATGAAATAAACATAGCTCTTCCCGGTAAACTCGGCTGGAAGCTTATAACACAGCCAACTTCCCTAGTAGCTCGGATTTACAAAGCTCGTTATTTTCCTTCGACATCATTCTTGGAAGCTAAGGTTGGATATAGACCGAGCTATATCTGGAGGAGTATATTGGCGGCCCAACCTCTTTTACAAAATGGCTACAGAATCCGTGTAGGCAATGGGTCCTCTATTAGAATCTAGCACGACCCCTGGCTCCCTAGTCCCAACCAGGGGCTTGTTACATCAAATCCAAACCCAGGCAACGAAGCTGCCACAGTTGATCAACTCATCATAGTAGGCGAGAACATGTGGGATTTTGACCTTCTTGCTGAGCTGTTCAATGAGGAAGACCGCCGTCAAATTATGAACATACCCCTAACCGCCCTCGGGAGAGAGGATCGCGTACTTTGGTCCCATTATAAAAAAGGTACTTACTCGGTTAAAAGTGGCTATAAACGCTTGATGGAGGACTCCTTTCTCTATTCTCACACTGCTACAGATAACTATTGGAGCAAACTTTGGCATCTTAAAGTTCCGGCTAAGGTTCGAAATTTAATTTGGAGGGCATCGTTGAATGTACTGCCAACAATTGATCAATTGAGGGCGAAAAGAGTTGACGTTGACAGTCGTTGCCCAGTTTGCCATTTGCATGAAGAATCTGTGCTTCATACTTTGGTATTATGTGAGTTTGCTCAGAAAGTTTGGGAGGCAGCAGGAGTCAATAGCTCATCCCCTACGGCTACTAATTTTAAAGAATGGCTCATAGGCACCCTCGAACATCATAACCAAGAACATGAGCTTATTGTAATGATCGCTTGGGCCATATGGACGAATCGAAATGAGGCAGCTTGGAAAGGTAAATCCTATACAGTGCTTATGGTGGTAGCTAATGCAAAAAACTTCCTCCAACAGTGGCATGAAGCTAATCAACCTTTAAGCCCTCTTACGGCAACATCTAACAGTCCGGGTGAAGACAAGTGGAAACCACCCCCAGTGGGCTACTTCAAACTTAATGTGGATGCAGCCATCTTTGAAAACCAAGGGAAAGCTGGGCTTGGTCTGGTGATTCGAGACGAATTGGGGTCTTTCGTTGCTGCCAGGATTGTTCCTGTACAAGGAATTGTCGACCCTCTTATCGCTGAAGCCTTGGGGGTCCGCGAGGCACTCTCTTGGATTAAATCAAGTTCCTTCGAGGTCAGAACAGTTGAATTAGATGCCCTCATGGTCTACACAGCTCTACAGAATAAAGGAGTGGACAACTCCTATTTTGGTGCCATAATCGAAGAATGCCGACTCCTCGCAAGAGACCTCCCGAACCTCAATTTCCATTGGGTTAGGAGATTGGCGAACCAAGTTGCTCATACACTAGCTAAGGCAGCATATTCCTTTCATGATAGGGTAGGCTGGTCTTACTTTCCGCCTTTATTCATTTCAAATGTATTACTTGCCGATTCGATGAATGAATAACTTTACCATTAATTGCTGTATATATTCACTATGTTACCTTCTGTACAATTCATCAAATTATTCTTCATTTGAAGTAATGAATACAAAGCTTTCAGGTTCATTCAAATTTATTCATTGATATCTTTTATATTTCAAAATTTTACATGGTATCAGAGAGATAAATGGAAGAGTCTAATTCAACAAACACAAATGCTAATCCAAACCAAATTCAGAATACTCAACAAGCAAAGGAAAGGAACTCAACTATCCTTCCTCAAGATCCAACAAATCCCAGCAGCCCTTATTATATAGGGAACAATGATGGAGGAAATCTTATGCTAGTCACTCATGTCTTGGACTCGAGTAACTACTACTCTTGGGCTTGTTCAATGAGAAGGGCATTAAGGAATATGAACAAATTGGGATTCATTGACGGTTCCCTATGCGAACCGAACAATCCCAGTGATCCTTTGATGGAACATTGGCTAAGGTGCAATGATATTGTCATAACTTGGATGCAAAATGCCATGGCAATCGACATTAAGAGCAGTACTATTTATGCTGAGACTGCCCACCTTCTTTGGGTAGACCTTGAGCAAAGGTTTTCCCAATAAAATGCTCCTCGTGTTTTTGAAGTTAAAAAAGACATCACAACCTTGATGTAAAACCAGGATTCTGTGAGTGTTTACTATTCCAAGCTCAAAATTCTTTTGGATGAACTATTGAATTATGAGAATATTCCAAATTGCACTTGTGGAGGAATGAAAATAGTAGTTGAAAACCAGCAGAGAGACTGGGTCATGAAATTTTTGATGGGGCTGAGTGACTCCTATAAAGAGATTAAAGCCCAAATTCTACTAATTAAACCGTTCCCTAGTTTGAATGGTCCAACAAGAGGAGAAGATGCGAGAAATGTCAAATCCTAGCTCTAATCCTACCAATTCTGACTCTATGGCTTTTCTGAGCAGAAGAAATTATAAAGAAACAGGAAACCAAAATTTTCCCTCACTGAGGAAGGATTGATACTACTGCACTCATTGCAAGGTTCCAGGCCATTCTCTTGATAGGTGCTTCAAGGCAAATCCTAAGTCATCATGCTTTTATTGCCAAATGCCGGGACATTTAGTGGATAAGTGTTATAAGCTGAATGGATATCCATAAGGACACAGGTTTAATCATAAGGGAAATGTTGCTGTTAACATGGTCTCTGCAGGAAGACCACCTAGTCAGGAAGTAGTGAAGGACAAGGGCCAAGTATTCTTAAGTGAGGAGCAATACTCCTAGCTGATGGCACTCATCAGACCTGTAATAAGGCCTCAACAACTTCATCTTTCATCAAACAACTCTCAAACACCAGCTAATCCTCTACCATCAGATGATTTTAAACACAAGATATCTGGTATACCATTAAGTTTAACCACTTATCACTATGATCAAGGAACCATTTCTGAAATCCCTTGGATCCTTGATACTGGGACAACAGATCACATGATTTGTTCTACCTCATTTTTTACATCCATTCAAGCTAATGTGTTTACTGTGTGGGGTTACCAAATGGAAAAAATGTCCCAGTCACACATGTTGGGACTGTTAAAATCTCAGAAGATATCACTTTACATGATGTGCTTTGCATTCCTAGTTTTTCTTTTAATTTGATTTCTGCTAGAAAGCTTGCTCAAACTGAGAATTGTTGTCTTATTTCTTTTCTAACTGCTACTATATCCAGGACCTTTCGAGTTGGAGAACGGCTGGAATGGGTGAGGTGAAAGGTGGATTGTATCACATGGTGAAAAAGCAAGTTTCTCCCTCAGCTTTATCAAATGTTCTCAACCAATCCAAGTGTCTGTCCTTCACTTCTGAACCTGCTAAGAATAATGAGGATCCTGTCTTATGACACTATAGCTTAGGGCAATCTTCATGTTCTGATTTCACTCCCGAAGAAAATATTATTGTGTCTCCTAGTGTAAGTCATTGCCCCATTTGTCCTTTAGCAAAACAGCACAAGCTACCTTTTAATACCAGTCACCACAAAACAAGAAAGTGCTTTGAATTAATCCATTGTGATATTTGGGGACCTTGTAATGAATTAAGCAGAGATGGTTCTAGATATTTCTTATCCATTGTTGATGATTTTAGTAGATGCACATGGGTTTACATGCTTGTTTTTAAATCTGATGCCACCACAGCTTTGCAGAATTTTTGTGCCATAATTGAGAATCAGTTTGATGCTAGGATCAAAACTATTAGAACTGATAATGGAGGGGAATTCAACATGACAGATTTGTACTCTCAAAAGGGCATAATACATCAAAGGACTTGTGTTGAAACACTTGAACAAAATGTGGTGGTAGAACGAAAACATCAACATATTTTGAATGTGGCAAGGGCTTTACAATTCCAGAGTAAACGTCCTTTAAAATTCTGGAATGACTTTGTATTGACGGTAGTATATTTAATAAATAGAACACCAACTCCAGTTTACAACCAAAGTCCTTTTGAAGTGTTGTTCCAAATCAAGCCTAACTATAGACATTTAAAGGTTTTTGGCTGTCTAGCTTTTGCCACCACCCTTGTAAGTGGCATACATAAATTTGATCCTAGATCTAGGGAGAGTGTCTTCATTGGCTATCCGTTTGGGGTAAAGGGATATAGATTGCTGGATTTGAAAACGAATAAAGTTTTTATCTCAAGGAATGTTGATTTTCATGAAAACATTTTTCCTTTTAGAAACATAAAGTTTGATAAAAATAAACCTTTGACTAACTTCAATCATCTAAGATATACACAAAATCCTGTCATTAGCAATGATCCCATCACCTCTTCATTTGACAACACCAATTATAGAAATAGTGAACATGATTTTATAAATCATTCTGAATCCTCAAATTCTCATGAAGACACCAATCAAGAAACCGATCAACCAGTCACTGATATCATGCAGTCAAATACACCAGTCATCAGCCATTTACCTCGCAGGTCAAACATAATTCGAAAAGCCCCTTCTCACTTGTAGGATTTCATGTGTCAACAAGCATCTTCACCTATCCCATTCCAGAAATTCAACAGCAAGAAGGAAACTGATATTACAGGTAGTATTTTTCCCCTTAATGATAATGTTTCCTATGATAAATTATCCACTTCTCACCATGCTTTTGCTATTTCAATAATAAGCCACACAGAACCTAAGACTTATCAGGAAGCCTTATCCTCTCCTGAATGGTGTGCTGCCATGAAAGTTAAGATTGAAGCTCTAGAGCTTAATGATACTTGGACCTTGGCCAATCTACCTCCTGTTAAAGAAGCAATAGGGTGTAAGTGGGTTTACAAGGTGAAATTCAATGCAAATGGCAGCGTTGAGAGATTCAAAGCACGATTAGTAGCTAGAGGATACACACAATAGGAGGGCCTTGATTATCATGAGACATTCTCTCCTATGGCCAAATTGATCACCATTAGAACTTTACTTGCAGTTGCAGCCATCAAGGGATGGAACTTGTGTCAATTTGATGTAAAGAATGCCTTCTTGCATGCTGAATTGGATGAAGACATTTATATGGAACTACCCCCTGGTTATTCCAATCCCAATGGAAACAAAGTGTGCAAATTGAAGAACATCTATGGATTGAAGCAAACTTCACGCCAATGGTATTCAAAACTCTCCAACTTTATTATTGAACATGGTTACATTCAATCAAAGGCTGATTACAGCCTGTTTATCCTACATGACTACTTATATTTTAAAATCTGACACGCACATGAATATATGACTCAGATTTGGGGGATTATTGTTATATCCATAAATTACGTGGCATGCACATGACAGATGGGGTCCCATATATGTCGACGTGGTGTCGACTATTCAATTGATTGGGCTTAAACTTAGCCCATTAGCCCCATTTTCATTTCTTTATATATGTGTGTATCCATTTCACAAAAGGTATTTTTTTTAACCCTAGCCAAAATTCCCTCTCCCATCTTTTGCACTCATTTTATCTTTCGTCCAGCCGTTAACTTGATCGTTGGAGTGCAAATGGTCACCAGATCTTTTTCTCAACCTGCCGCCTTTGCCTTCTGACGGGGTGTTTAGTGTGCAAGTGATGTCCACGTGTGGGGAACGTGATCGGGATTCTATTGATGTATTTTTTGAGGTCAACAACAACAACAATAATAATAAATACAAAAATGTAATAAAATATATTTCCCTAATTTGAAAGCACACAAGTGGAAATCATCATCAACAATGAGTATTTTAATTAATGGAGGTTTGAACATAAAAATTCGATGAACTAAGAACATCTCATAATTAATACCTCCATAATTATAAATTTCATTAAAGCGAAAGCGTACTATTGTCATATTTTATTATTTCTGTTATCTAATAATTAATACAAATATATAAAAAGACCAATTAGCGAAATCACCTATAAAAATCAATCTATCTAAAGTGGCATGTTTCTTCCATGTTGTCATCATCTCGACCGCATTGTCAAGCAACGAAGGTTTTACTTTTGGAAGAAATGACTGTACAATATTGGAGAAGATAAAGCTCACAACAAACTTTTACCATTACTATAGGTTTTATAGATTTAACTTTTACTTGGTGTTGATTTTCTCATATTTCTTGTATTTAATTTTTAATTGGAGATATGTACCATCCACACTTAATTGTTTTATTTGACATGTATATCAAACTCATTGGTAATTCACAAACAATAAATATATAAGATTAAATTAGTACGATGAAGACTTTCTAGAAGTACGTAGTAACATTATCGAATATACATTAAATCATTTTGAAGTAGATATTCTACAATTAATAATCTCCGCTAGTTGATAAATTATTATGAAATGGATTGTAATACTTTAGAGAGGTTTAGGGATGACAATGAGACATGTATATGACGAGTCGACCATTATCGTCCTCCGTCTCATTCGATGTTTTTGTCATCTTATCACACCCTCGTACTCGGTTAAATCAAGGCGAGGAGGGGCAGGTCCCCTACCCATTTATCATCTCAATT